TAATAGTTGCACTACCCTCATGTTCCCAGTTCAGCCAGCGAGTAAAGGCCTTGGTGCCTCATTTCTAGTGTATGGCAGAGGGTGTGAATTAAAGCCCAGGCATTTCTGACTCTCTCTTGGCCACCTACTTTCAGCTTATTGTTCGGAATACCCAGTGTGTCCCAGTACTATAATCAACCTTGTTGCAGTTCTTAAAGGCAGATGTGTTCGTAAGTGCCATGCTGACCTTTGCCCTCTATCATGCCCTCTCCATGTCAATATTCCATCCTTCACGGCTTTTATGTGCTCTGGACAATGGACTCCTATCATCTTGGGTTCTCATTAAAGTTTAGTTCATTTCTCTTGACTCTTTTGTTGTAAGAGAGATTCAGATGGCCTTCAGTGCTTCTGGCCTTGCACACTATGAAACTGTAACTTCTAAATCATATTACCATTGTCTTCTAGGTTTTGCCCACACTTTAATTTGCCCATCTTCTTCCTCATTTATTGTTGGTGACTGGGATTTTTTAGATACGTCTTTCTCTATAGATCAAGTGGGTCTCAAACTCACTAACCTTTCTGCTTCAGCCTCCCATGCGCCAGGATTAAAAGGCGGCACTACTGTACCCAGAAAGTCAGGCCTTTTTATTTTATTTATTGCCTCCTGTTTTCATGTCATATTTTGTAAACCTTTGTCCCACGAGATTAAGAAAGAATTATCTCTTGCTTCTAGGACATCTACAGAGTGACCATTTAGACTCCCAACTCTGAACCTAGGATGCATGTTGGTGGAAAATTAAGAGTACAGCTGTATTTGCACAGATATCCCAGATCCCATTATTCATCTGGTTTCAGTTTCCCCAGTGATTCTAAACTCTGTCTTTAAAGTATAAGAAATATCAGGACTGGAGAGATGGCTCAGAGGTTAAGAGCACTGACTGTTCTTGCAGGGAACCCAGGTTCAGTTCCCAGCACCCACCCAGCTGTTAACAACCATCTGTACTCCAGTTCCAAGGGGTCTGGTGCCCTTTCTGGCCTCCCCAGGCATCAGGCATGCACACTGTGCATAGACTTACATGCAGGCAAATTTATACACATAAAATAAAATAAATCCATCTTAAAATAATAATAATAAAAGCCGGGCAGTGGTGGCGCACGCCTTTAATCCCAGCACTCGGGAGGCAGAGCCAGGCAGATCGCTGTGAGTTTGAGGCCAGCCTGGGCTACCAAGTGAGTCCCAGGAAAGGCGCAAAGCTACACAGCGAAACCCTGTCTTGAAAAACCAATAATAATA